TTAAGTAAGTAGGACTGTTAATAATCAATAAATTACATATAGAGAGTTAAAATATTATTCAGGAAATTATCTGCTTACAAATTCATCCAAATAATTTTTTTTTTTTAACATAAACGTCCTTATCAGTTGTTCTGTTCTGTTATTCTTATGTATTAAAATATATTATGAAATATCCATAAAATAAATAAGTTTACTAAATGATAGAAAGGAAAAATGCTGGTAACCGCTTCATTAATCAATAATACAGAATCAAAGTAGAGTTTTGTGTAGCAACAGGAGGCACATCAGTTAATGTCTTCTGAAAGATGAGCTGAGAGGATTCCTCCGAGAGGAACGCACCGTGCAAACGTCACACATGCCATTTTTAGTGCTGGATGTGTAGCAACAGCATGAAATGCAATTCCCTGTCTAGTCTGGCATCTACCAGTGATGTGCACCTCAGCAGTGGCTAATTAGAGTCAAAGCTCAGGTATTAATGCTGTTTAATGCTGCGGTAAGTGGTGGAGTCAGCTAAACAGAGACATGCATACAGAGATACACTCTGAGTACAACTCGTCTCACATTTGTACATCAAATGCATGCTGTTCATTTTTGCTGTGCATGCTTTTTTTTTTGTGTGTGTGGAACTAACACCTGTGTTTTTATAAAGGGAGTAAAGAAGTTTAATTTCTGCTTTTGTTCTGAGCAGTTCCTCCCCAGCCTGACTGTGTGTTGTTCTTCTATCGTGTCTGACACAGGGCCACCTCAGGCAGAAGGAGGCGGTGCGTGGTCGGAGGACGACTCGGAGGTGGAGGTTGTGTATGTCCGTGAACCCACGGCTGAACAGGCGGCTTTAGCCAGGAAGCTCTTGCTGCCTCTCACCTTCTTCTGCTATCAGAATGAGCCAGGCTACACCAGCGACGGTGAAACTGATGGTGAGACAAAGATAAGAAACACGAGTATAAAAATGTTTTCTTCAAGTGAATGTGGTAAATAAGATGACTCGTATGTTTTGTTACGTTTATAATTTCCACAGGTAGTATTTTATTATTTCACCATCATCTCATTTCATTCACACAAATTCCCTTACAGGGTTTAAAAAGCTCCGCGTTGCTTTTATCTCTGCACTGTTTAATTGAAGCGAGCACATTGCCAGCTGCCTGTGTGATTGCTGTTTGTAGATTCAGGATTCAAAATGTTATCAATGGCAGGCAAACTGAGACCGGGCGTAAAACTGCATCGGAGAGTTTCATATTTTACCCAGAACTCTGAGTTTCTACATCATTGAGACGCAGCCTCTCTCAAAAAAGACCTCTGTGACTGATTGCTCTTCATCTTGTTTCTTTTTTGGTGACTTAACACCGCGAATGTGTCGCCACAACTTAAAATAACAAGTAATACTTAGGGCAAAAACATGAGCACAGATTGTGTAGAAAGCTGCTTTGATTTGATTCACTGAACTCCAGATAGATACGGTGAACAGTGAAGGTCACGTTAGTCTCAGCCGGTACACGTAAAAAAACCAAGCAACAAAAGGTCAATATTATATTCTGTTACAACCATTTGCAGTTTGTGTTTCTGTTGTCTCTCACTATCACAACACAATGTGTTAACGTCTGTAAAGCTGGCCATCATGTTGCTAAAAATCTGAACACTAAGAACAGAAGAAGACAAAACAAACAGGAGTTGTCTTTGTCCGAAGTCCGTGGGAGTGAAGTGGGAACTGGAATCAACAGTTTCTTTACAAGCAAAAGTAATTTAAGGGGAAAAATGTGTTTTGAATTTTCAGACGAGGACTTCGAGTCAGCAGTAAAAGCCTTGAATGGAAAACTCTACGCTGATCCTGCTGAGAAGAAGGCTGCAGCGTGTGGGGACGGTACGTGTGTCCTATTCTGTCAAACACACGATTATCTAATTACCCTCAGTTTTATCATTTCTACCAATATCCTGTTGGTTTGATTCATACATAAATAATGATCTCTTCCATGTGTGTAATATATCGAATACACCATGTGGATTTAATAAATGCTCACCTCGCCTGCCAGTCGAACCCTAAACTTGTGTGTACTTCATTCAGAGTCAGACTGCCAGTTGGTTTGGGAGAAGAAGCCGACACCGGAGGAGGAAGAGAAGGCCAAAAGCCTCCAGCTTCCACCCACCTTCTTCTGCGGCCTGAGCATCACAGACAGCGACCCCGACCCCGACCACGACAAGCCCGAAGACTTTGAGACGGAAGTCCGCAAGGCACAGCGAGACCTGGTAACAGACAAAACGCTTCATGCAGGTCGTCTTAACTGCATTCATTTAGAGTGGTGACGAGTAAGCAGTTAATAAGAGGAGAACATGGGTCCTGTTTGAATCACACGTGGACAGTTTACACTTAAATCTTAACTTCTCCGCTCTGTATGCACATAAACACAACAGGCCTG